AGAGTGACTGGGAATGGGAAGATAATTTCTGTTTATTCTCTTTCTTAAAACAGAAGGATTAATTCCTTCCTCATTCAGGCGTTCTGTGCCACAGACCAGGACTGGGCAAATACTTGTAGCTAATTCAAATAAGTTCCCTGAAGTTCCAAGTTCCATATATGGAGGCTAAGACGTAATTTCCGCTCTGTGCACTGTGTGAGTCACATTCAATTAAAGTAAATGGAGTTGTGTAATGCTGAATTTGACCCTACATATGAGTATGTTCTTCCCACTGTTTGTTTATGAAAATCGCCTGGGGATTGCTTTATTTTCGCTGGGGTGCTGACAAGGAAGGCAAGTGTAATGAAAACAAAGCAGCCAGCCTTCCCTAACTTGATGTATGTGCTGAAGTCAGGAAAATTTTTCTCACTCTGGATTTAAAACACTACCTGCAATATACATGTCTCTCAGCTTAAATGAAATTTGTATCTCAAGGGGTCATGAGAGCCTCTGTTCAGACACGTGATTTTAAACTTGGACTGGCTGAGGGTTTTTGCTGCTTTTCTTATCACAAAATGGCATTTGCATTGAAAACTTTCTGTTACGCTTCACTCAACCAACAAAATTCTGAGGCTATTAAGAATATGTTTGTGTTGAGGTAAACACTGACTTGACTTTGATCAGGGTTTATTGCAGTTATTGACCTTCAGGTTTTTTTGAAATATTCATTGTTTACAAAGATGATCTGGACTCATGACTCTCTCCTGGATGTTCTTACTTCCCTCATTTTCCTCTCAGGTAAGTTTTGATCTCAAAGAGCTTCTGGGGAAATTTGTACTAAAAAATCCAGTGAAATCCTGCAGGGGAAATGCAGTGCTCCTTTATCTGTTCCTCTTGAAGACACCACCCTCTAAATAGCTGTGACCATGCCTGCTAGATAGCTATTATTCTGATGTCAAATAAGTTATCCCAAAGTTAACTAAGCTCCATGTAGATTGTTCCCCTCCCATATGCGATTGAAACACACTGGTGATATTGATTAAAAAAAGGAAAGACGACTGAAAGAGTTGTGCCGAGTAACAGGGTTGAATCCTGCAGTATTTAACCTGCTTCTGTGAATAACTCTGTCCCTTGTTTTGCCTTTTAATCACGCAGTTGCCTTCCACATTCATTAAAGGTGTACAGAGATTTCAGGGGGCTCATGGTAAAGGCTGAGACCATGGCCTTTCTCCGTATAAGGATGCAGTGTCATGAAATACATCAGTACTGTTTAGGAGACCCCATCAAAAGACATAGGGTAAACCGTTTCCTATCTTCTTCCATCTTTTCACTATGTCCTTGTTAACAGCCCTGACTTCTGGGCTTGGTCAGTGTGATGGGTACCTCTCACAGCAGAAGGGTAAAAATACATTGCTTGAGTTCAAAAGAGTTGCCACAGCCACTCACTGCCTAGTGCCCTAGAGACACGTGCAGCCAAGACCGACTGCAGGCACGCAGTGCTGTCACTGAGGAGAAAGAAGATAGCAGAGTGGAGGAGTGAGTTAATATGCTTGTCTTTCACCTTCAGAGGCCTGGCTTGTTTCAAACTTGAGTACAGATCACAAGTGAATGAACACTACTGTCTTGACTTAGGCCTCAGCTGACATATCTCCATCAAAACCTGACGCATAATTTGTTTTCAATAGCGGAGCTTCTTAAGGAAAGAAAAAAAAAAAAGGAAAGCAGAGAGTGTTTTGATACCAAGGTCAAAAGGAATTAAGAGTGAAAGGAATTGGCTCGGTGCTTGCCAGCGTAGTATTAGATGCTACCCTGGGACAGGACAAGGAGCTCGCTGACCCACACTTGCGCTGGCCTGAAGGACAAGCATTAGTGAGTTGAGGCACTGCTGCCCTCTATGCTCCCTTTATGATTCTCAGGTTTAGCCTGGAGTGCAGCACAGACTGCAAGCTCAGCTGTAGTGACCATCCATTTTGGTTCAAAAGCAGCAGCATCTGATGAGTCCTGTCCAGCTTTCCTTGGGCAGAATCACTATCACTGACTTAAGTGATGATGAGCACAAAAGCGAGAATTCAGGGAATGCAAGCCACTGTTCACAAACTACAAGCCTATACTCACAAGCTATCAAAGTGTGCATCTATGCTGCAGCTTTTGGAGGTGCATACCATCCAGCTTCACAATAATGAGCTCAATGTCTCTCTGCAGCTCACTGTGAGCTCCAGAACTGGATGGAGAAATGAGTTAAACCCTTTGAAGACTGTTTGCACAGTCAGCCTTAGATTACTGCAACTTCCTTGCCAGCAATGCTCAAGGGAGCTAAACTAAAGCTGACTCAGGGGTATCTACACGCCCTGTAACGGCTGGACTATAGATGTATCAAAACCTAGAACATGTGCACTGTATGAAGAAGTTGCACTGAACCACAGTAAACCAACAACGATCACCAAAAGGAGTCCCTTGCTAGCTTTTGGCTATATGATTTCCTAGGATTAGTCTATACAGGCTGCTGTGGGTATGCAGGGTGGGTTTGTAGTCTCCAAGCTCCTAGAGAAATGCCCTACAGTGTTCTCATTTTGCTCTATGAGGAACACAGCCTGCCAGCAGCAACCGCAGCACTCAGGGTGCCTTGGCTTCACCAACTGTGCGTGGGGGAGACAGAGGTGCTGGGTGACCGCACTGAGCAACTTGCAACATTGTGGTGCCATCAGGGACGCTCCTCAGCTGCACCGGCACAGCCGAACCACTGTAACTGGGACTTTAAGAAAATATCATGTGCACCTGGGCAAGTGAGTGAGAAAGGTACTGATCACGTTTAAACCATCTCCAGAGGATGGAGGACCTCCGGAAGAGGCACTCCACGTTCTGCCTTTACCAACGGAGCAGCACCTGCATTTATGTCTGAGTACATGAGAAACCATGTGATTTAACTCAATCTGCCGTTTAAAGAAATGCCTCCTAAGATAATAGCATTTTGACGGAGCAAAGGATATCTGTCCAGGAATGACAGATGTTCCTCAGTGACTTCACTGATCACAGACACAGCTTTGTGAGGCTTTGGAGTGCTGTCTCGTTACTCACTCTCTCAAGCAGCCTGTCGACTATTTATGGTGGTTCCTTTATCTCCCAGCAAAATCAATTTTGTCACATAGATTATGTAACACGCTTTTGTCTCAAACAGTGGAGACCAGTGAGCTTCCCATTCTCCCCAAGATGGTTCCTGGTATTTCTGTTGCATGCCTGAACCGGAGAAAAATATCAGGGAGGGTCTAGCCAGAGCAGCACTGGGAAGAGTAACTGTGTGGTCCCATCAAAATTCTCTATCTGAGATATACATAGCTTATTTGTGCTGCTTACAAGTGAGGACAGGATTTTTCTGCCAAGCCTGTAAACTCAGCCTCTGATCCTGAAATCCATTGGTGTTCTTTGCTTCTTACACCACCAAAGAGGTTTAAAATTCTGTCACCAGAACTATTCTGATAGTTTAGCTCATGCTATATTAGGCCAAGGGACGCTCAGACCCCTTCTTACAATAAGAAATAGAAAAGCCAGTGTTAACAACATAAATATGGGTTTTTTGGACTGAATTGGGTGAGTTTCTTTAAAATGCTGTGGGAGAAAATGCAGGACCAAACCTTGATTTCTCATGGTACATCTTCTTTGTACCACTGTGTCGAAGTACAGCTACTGCAAAATCAGGCTCCCCAGCCACTCCAGGGCTTCCTCAAACAGGAAGATACTCTGCACATAGGCAATGACAATTGCTCAAAGTCACCCTGGTACACTAACACTGTAGCCAGTGCATTAGGAGTATGACTGAAACGGTTAGTTTGTCAGAGGACCTTGACTATTAAAGGTTAGGGGCAGGGGTTTCTTTTATCAAAACAAATGCAGTTTTATTGAGTTGGTTGTACCTAAAACCAGAACTGCTCAAAGCATCTAGTTTCTGTTGCTTTCATTATGGTAGAGGAATCACTTACTTTTGTCTCCTCCACCTGTAATATATAGGCTAATGAACTTGTGTAAGATATTATTTCTTTAGTATTTGAGCACCTCCACATACAGTAACAATACAATAACACAGAATCAGAATAAGGACACCCCAGTGTGAGTGAGTGGAATTTCTGGTGTTTTATCTAAAGCATGTTAAAACTCTGCTTCTGGTAGGACTTAAATAATGACTGTCAGATAGTATTATTGTCTTCAGTTTTCATTGATTTGTAGTTTACTTGATGAAAGAGGATGCTAATGCTGTAAGTGCTGATCCTATTCTGGAAAGGATTCCTCAAAGAAAGTTATACAGCACTTCTTAAAGATAGTCAGCCTCCAGATTCACCTAGTCTCCTTTGGGAGTTTACTCCAACATTGGATTCCCCTTACTGAAAATCCTTTGAACACTTGAGCTGGCAGATATATTGCCCTGGACTTTCTTCTGCATTATCCCAAAGGATGCAGTCAAGAGCCAGTATTGGGCTACCTATGTTTTTCCCACTTTTGTATTTGTTAATGTACAGCTCAATAGAAATGTAAGTTTGGTGGAAAGACATGGTTCACGCTCAAAGGTGCACACTGAGTCATTGAAGGCTTTGAAGGGGTGAATTTTATCTTCTGTTGAGCCCAGGAATTGTTAAAAGACTAGACAAGACTTATTACAAGGTGACATATGCAACTTAAACATCAGTACTGTGATTCTTAATTTAGTTACAGGAGTGTCAGGACTACGTGAATAAAATAGAACTAAATATATGTCATAGGGGCAGAAATACATAGATTCGAAGAGGAGGTGGAAGATTAATTCTATCCAGATCCTTCTGGAGGCTTCAAAGAAATCAGGTACGAAACTGATGTGCTCCACTAAGAATGGTTTCTCTGTGATGAACAAAATCTAAAGGATAGAGGAAGACAGATGCCTGACAAGGTATAAAAATTCCATAGCAAGTCAGTTGGACAGAGAAAGAGACACTTAAGATTTATTTTGAAGTAAATATATTTCATGTATTTGCATGTCTTTTATAAATATTAGCAATGGTACCTATTTTGGTTAATAGAAACAAATAATTCATTTTGCTTTAGCTTCTCTTGAGTTAGCAGTGAATTCAAAGTAACTAGCTAATGAGACAATCATTACTAGACATTGTAGGAAATCTGTGCATTAGAGTCCTGAGAGAAGCACCTCCCTTTCTTAGCACATATTCAAGAGTGTTCAGTGAAGTGTCTCCACAAAGCTGGAAGATCTAGTTTGAGCGCTGGGATTGTCAAAGAATGAAGGGTCTTTCAGTGACCATTCCTACCCAGGAGGGTCTTTGGTATAAAATAAGGTATTGTGTGTCATCCTAAGAGAGAGGTCACATAATCGCTCCGAGAGAATCCAGATCTAATTAACTTTGATGCTGTCCAGACCTTTGAAGACATTTCTCTTTGCTCTCTTACTAGCCAAAACACTTTGCCAGCCAGTGGAGAGGGTTAGCATTTTCGCGGGGAAATCATTACAATAGAAAGTGCCATTTTCACAAAATCCAGTTTTTCCACTCTAAAATTTCATATTTCCCCCAAAGATCTTGACTCTTCATCAAGAATATCAGAAGTGGCCTGCCATGATGGCTCCTCTTCAGGAATATACCGATTTCACCTTTTTATTGGAAAAGAAGAAGGGAAATCAACATATGATCAAGAAGCTGGGGAACAACAGCAATAACAAAACTATTATTACATCTCTCACATCGGAATTTTCCTGGAACCCCTTCTCATGATACATTTTTCATTTTTGACCGTCTGCCCTGACGCAGAACCAAAATATATATTCTTTGTAAATGAGTTTTGTTTGTTTGTTTGTTTGTTTTGCAAGAATGGATTTCTCTTTTCTAACCCTTTCTACTGGCCACTTCCTTCAGCCACATCTCTGGCTCTCGTTAATGGACTTTTTCCCATGAACACCTAATGCCTGAACTTGCTTTCAGAATCCTGTAACCAGCCTTGTGCTCATTCTCTCTTAAAACACCCTTTTTTTGCAAGAAGCTAGATACCCTAATCTTCCCTCACGAAGGACTGATCCTGAAAATGGGAAGACCAGTGCTGCTGTGATAATAAACTGACTGTGACTTTCTGACTATATTAATGATGTAATCCCTATCCTTCATTCTCATTAACTCTATAATATATGTCCTCTTGTCTTATTTCGTCTAGCTTTAGTCTAGCTTAAGTCTACATATCTACTCAACTTGCAACCCTTATGCAAGTAATTCACTGAAACCAAGAAAGAAATGATTGCTCTACTAATTAAAGAATTTAAGTTTTATATTACCAGACTGTTATCTCTTGGAAGAGTGCATTAAGATTGTTTTTCAGGAAAACAGTTCATGTTTTAGTGATATTGTATAAATATCAATTTTAATAACCAATAGTTGAATATCACATGATAAAGTCTTGTGATGAAGAAGAAGTACCATTAACCATGTCAGCCGGCTCTGACTAGAGAATGTGGTAAACACTCAGGACCCAGAGTTGCATTTTACAAATGACATCTACACTAACAAGAAGCAAACTTCAAATCTCGAATAGTCACATCCTTGACATTTAGGATTTTCTCAGTCCAAAAAAGACATTCAAATGCTTCTCATTCAGCTTACCCTTCATTGTTTGTCATCACTACCTAGATAACCATGCTGCTGTCCCTTCTTCTTAGATGGCAGCAAGTAAATAAGCCCTCCGTACCATTTCATTTCTGAAAAAACAGATCCAGATTATTGCTGTGTTAGCTGGAAATACTCATGTCCTCCAGGAGGGCTGCCATCCTCAGGAGAGGCATAGAAAGTAAGCTTTACTGAAATGGTATTATCCAGAAACAGCTATGTTTCTACCATTGTTCACTGAGTCGCACAGGTATCAGTGCATAGGTTTGTCATTGAATCACAGGATCACCTACAGCAAGTGGTGTGTTCCTTATCACAGAAAAGCATGTCAGTGTATTTGAGCATTGCAAAGTACAACTGGATTTAATAAGATCAGATGGAGAATAGATACCAAGATAGCAAGCCTGGGTTAACAACCAGTGTGCTCAACAGCCAAGGACTAGTTGAGGAGGGACATGAACTCAAATGCATTGTCAAAAATAAAACAAAGCAACCCCTCCCAGCCCAACCCAGCTCTTTACACCCGAATTTTCTCAGCAGTGTATGATGATACCTACCTCCTGAGTGAGAGAGAAAAGCACCAATCACACACTAAGGGAAGCTGGGGAACTGCAGAGAATCTGCCACTGACAAACTTGCTGGACTTGAGATGAACGAAACCGAGCACCAGCCTCCTGTGATGGTTTGAATCAGTCCAAGGAAACCTTCTTGGCTGTGGCAATGCTCACAAGTCATCAGAAGCTGGAAAGACAAACGTCAGAGTCAGTCTCAGGAAGAAATAAGCACGGTGGCTCTTTTCCCAGCAGTGGGTTGAGAATACTGCTCAGCTGTGTCAGTGCAGTCACACAAGGATCAAGACAGCACAAATAGGGGCAGAAGAAGGCTCCATGAGGTAAATTTACTGTGTGCTTTGGCTGAGCAGCTTTAGTGATGCAAACTGCTGTAACTGATTAATTAAGCTGCTAAACTAGATTTATAGATACCATATATTGCTACAGTAGCACAAAGCAGCCAGAGACTTCCAACAACATTTCATCCTTATGACCTAGTACACACACAAGCTTTTCTTGTTTTCAACAACTGTAAATGTGCCAGGTAGGAAATGTTTCCTACTGACTGACTCATGCAAGGAAACCCTGAGTGTGAGCATGGTTACACTGGAACAACAATTCCTTATAGCTACCTAGCTTATTCATTTCCCAGACCAGTACAAAGCCTCTGCCAGTGCAGCTGCATTCACATTAAAAAGATCGTACCACTCGAACTGTACTGATACTGTACAGAATTAATATACAATCATTTAGTTAAACTAATACAGTTTTCCATATGTAGAAAAGGTTTGAGCTGTGGTAAGGCATCAGAGTTTCACACTGCTTAGCAAGAGAAATAAAATGTAATGTATAAGAAAAAATAAGAAGAAATAATAATAATATAAGAAGAAAATGCAGAAAGAGGAAAAAAAAATAATTCTTCCTGAATCTATTTTCACTAGGTCAGAAAAATCCACAGCTTCCTTTTAGTTCTCTGATTACCAGCTTTCTCTTTGGCTGCAGCTTTTGAAAACATTTTTCTTTCCCATCTTTACTCCCTACAAAAACACATTGTCTTCAAACAAATCTCTCAAAGGGTTCATAGAACTGATTACAGACTGATGCTGGAAGGAAAGAAAGATAATTGTGCACGAGCTGATAAACGTTGCAGGGACAACTCTAAACAATCATGCATGAATTATATCTTCAACAAATGTAATTACTGAACAATTCAGAAAATGTATATAAACTGGTATTTTTTGCAGTTATTTCCTTTCCTGGACTGTGTATTGAATTGCTTTCAAGCATCCTTGATTATATCTGGCCGGAAATCTTCTGATGGAACCCGTTCCTGATGAGAAATGCCGATTCATCAAAATGAAACACCGCCTAGTATGGGAATCTCTGGAGTTTGGTTCAGCACACATGGGTTTTAAAACTTGCCTGCTGTGCAGGTTTCCGGCAGAAAGCTACCAGATTTCCTCCTGTTCCATCTGCACCTCCCTTCACAACCCACTGGGCAGACTGCACAGAGGGGCCCTTAATATTCAGGCAGACTTCTCTGCAGTCTCTCCAAACATAAAAGGAGCCAGGAGGTAAGAGCCTGGCAGCTATCTGTTAGGTGAAAATCTTTATTCTGAAACACTTGGAGGCAAAGCTGTCAGCACCTGATTCAGCTTCTAGCTCTCAGACTTGTGCTCCCAAAGCAGATTGCAAGATCAGCATAACATAACTTTGTCTAAAATTGCTTACAAGTGACCTCAGAAAAGGTTAACATTTGGTTACAGTAATGTGTCAGGAAATGTATTATAAGCTCTTTAAAGCAGGATATTTGAAAGCTTTTTGACCTATATTTTTCTCAGAGCATCCTGCACTAATGCTGTATTAATCACCAGTCTCCACCGCTAGTGCTCTGTCTATGAAAGGGGAGCAACAACTGAGAATTGCATGCAGTTATAACCACTTTTTTCCATTTTTTCTCATGCCCTTAGGCTAGCTTGGAGTGCTGCACATCCCCTACATTCCTAGGAGCCACCAAGAGCACTCCTCTGCCAATGAACAGGACTGTAGGATGCAACTTGTCCCGTATCATGTTGCCCTCAGTAAATATTAGCTGGAGTCTCAGGCTCACATTTGCCTTTCCAGGTATTTGCTTAGGACGTTGTAACACTTGCAAAGGAAGGAAGATGGAGAGGTGTCATGTGGGACTTGTGCAGGACTGTGCATTGGCACAGTACCTAGGGCTGTCAGAGGAGAGGAAAGCCCTGAAGAACGAGTCAATATAGACCCCTGCCAAGCGACATTTCCTACCCAGACGCTTTACAGGTGCAGTGTATGCGACAGTCATGGGACAGGAGGGAAAACAGAATCAGGGGAAGGTGAAGGGCATCACTGTGCATTATGCTGGTGTATTGGTACGGCCAGGAACGGTCCTTCCTGCAGCAAGGTACTACTGCGCTTTGCTTGAAATGCTTTAACTTACGTCTTGCTGAGGTCCTCCCGTTTGCAGTTCTGTAGCCTGCCTTCCCCTCACAGCTCTATAGCCTTTCTCCTCAGACGTTATGACAGCATTTTTCCCTTGTTGTTCTCATACTGTTGTTATCGTGTTTGTTATTCTCATGGTCTTGCACCTACAAACTCCAACAGCATGAGAATCACCCCTTCTTTCCCCCATCCCTCTTTCTACCTCTTGTTTTGCAGTTTTGGTTGTAACAGAGGAAATAGAAGACTTAGTTAATAACACAGTTGATATTAGCTGATAAGTATTACCCAATAATATACCTGCACAAAACTTAGCAACTTGTCAGTGTGCAACACTTGCACCTGACCAAAGCATGGTCCAGTCAGCACTGGTAGTGTCAGAAGTGGGGAAAAACAACAGGGAATCTGAGCAGGTCCCAGTGAAAAACATACAGTTTGAGGTAGGAAACATAGCACAAAAAGATATTCTCATCATCATGTTAACTTGCTGCGCGGGAGAGAACAGCCACAGGAGGATGTTTGTCTGGACATCCGGGAATAACCCTGGTAAGGCTTTTCCCTTGCCCAATGTATTGTCCCTTCTCTCTTTTTTTTTTTCCCCCCTAAAAGGTAACTTCAGAGTCACTGTATGCCACTATTGACCCTGCAAATAAAACTTTGTAGATATGAGCCTGTCTCAACAGTATTTGTGTGACAGTATTTCTTAGGATCCATCTGAAATCATGGCCCAGCAATTAACATCCCAAATCAGAGGTCCATTATGGATTTTTAGATATCCTGGGAAACACAATCCATTCTAAATTTTTTATTTTGAGACAGTGTTCTAAGCTGAAGTTACAGGACGCATGTGCACGTGATTTTTCTCTGAGATAAAACAGTTTAGACAAAATTATTTTCAATGCAGTTTCAGTGAAGACGTGATCTACAGGATGCATTCAAAAAGCTTCAGGGAAACATAGTACATCAAAACACCAACCTAACTTACTCGTTAACTTACTTTAATTAACCTCTCTGATCATGGGAGACCTTTCCGCATCACGTAAGCTCATATTTGTCCCCCCAACTCTACCTCTGTAGCTCAATAATCTACTTTTGAAATCTTCTAACACTTCCACTTGCGTTTTTAGTCTTTGTAATAAATTAAAGCTAATTTGGGTTCTGATCATGTACAGCTCAAATCAAAAAGAGTTAACCATTGATTTAATTGGGAGCGGGATTCAGGCCTTCTTTCAGAAAGCAGAAACAGGAAGAAGATCATTATTACTGATTTAGTTAATTCACTAACAAGAAGAAACAGTGGAACTTGAATGATGCCATTAACCTTATAGTGACTCAGTTTTCTTCATATTAGCTAGGAATTCTTATTTCTACAACTGTTAAGAAATTGATTTGCTCCTGGGTCCTTTTTTCAGCTGCTGATCTTCGATTTGGATCCACTGGAGCTGAATGCATCCCTGCCTTATTTGGTCTGGGGGAATGCTGCAAACATAAATATACTTCCATACATATACTTCCATACTTCTGGAAGTAGCCTCACGTTCACAGGCCCTGGTTCTCATGGGAGACTTCAACCACCCTGACATCTGTTGGCAAGACAGCACAGCTAGACACAAACAGTCCAAGAGGTTCCTGCAGAGCATTGAGGATAATTTCTTGACTCAGGTGGTGGAGACGCCAACGAGGAGAGGTGCAATGCTAGACCTTGTACTAACAAACAAAGAAGGTCTAGTTGGAGATGGGAAGGTTGGGGACAGCCTTGGCTGCAGTGACCATGAGATGGTGGAGTTCAGGATCCTACGAGGAGGGAGCAGGGCAATAAGTAGGATTGCAACGCTGGACTTGAGGAGAGCTAACTTTGGCCTCTTGAGGGACCTACTTAGGGGAATCTCCTGGAGTAGGGCCCTTGAAGGAAGAGGGGTCCAAGAAAGCTGGTTAATATTCAAGTATCACCTCCTCCAGGCTCAAGATCGGTGCATCCCTCTGAGTAAGAAGTCCAGCAAAGCGGGCAGGAGACCTGCATG